AAAGAGAGTCAAACCATTACAAACTCATACAAGGAGATAAAACAGACGTTTTACATGGTGAAATGTGACTGATGRAAACTTAGGAGCTTAATCCCACACCAGTTTGACCATGAATAACGTCGGGTGACCAGTCTGACTTTTCTTTTTTTTTTTTTACATTGGACTCCACAGAGAAGAAATCCCGTGCACACTGCTGCTTAAATGTTCACTACATCAGAATTTATTCAGCAAATGTGTTTCCATCTCTGCTTTTGTGCATTAACTCTTACAGGATGGAGGAAATTAGACTTGGCAGAGGTTTGCACTCTCAAAGTGCTTCTAGTTATTGCATAAATCACATCCATATTCTTTGTTATTCTTGTTTTTATTTAATAATATTTTTAACACAGTGGCAGCAGTGTGACCGTGTCTCTGCCTTCATGTCTTTCTCTCTTCTCTCGTCCCGCAAAGGAGGTAGAGACAGAAATAAGGAGACATTATCTAATGATGCAAACTGCAGCCACTAAATAACGTTTGTAGATTGTTTTGTTTGTTTGTTTTTTGTTTTACTTGTCGTAACRTAACTGAGTCAGAAGCGGGACAGTGTGTGTGTCCGTCACAGTATGAACGTTGGGCCTGGTGTGGGACAGATGCTGTTTTTCAGCACCWTGACCTCAGGTGGCCTGTGGTCTGAGGTGCGCTGATGAGATTTTCTCCAATAAAATCCTGCAGGCGCCGCATCTGAGGCAGAACTGCAAAACCAACACGACAATAACCACGTTCTACGAATGTTTGGTCATTATCATTTAAAARAAAAGTGCCGCGTAAAAATTGATCCTGACGAATACTTTCTCACCCTGTCAGTCAAAATGACGGACAGCAAAAAAAGTCCAGCGCAACCTCTGAGTGAAACAGGAGTTTAAAAACACGTAGAAGATCCACCAGAACATAACCATGGTAACCACACGTCTGTGTCTGTCACTCCCTGACCGCCACGTTGATAAGAAGCGGACTGAAAAGTAAGCCTCAAACAAACAAACCCTAACCCTGTTTCTAGTCTTTTATGTAGGAGATAAGTGCCTGAGCCTGGTTCTGCTGGAGGTTTCTTCCTGATTAGCAGGGAGTTTTTCCTCTCCACCGTTTGCTCAGGATGGGAGACTGTGATGAAGTGATTCAACACAATCTGCTGCTTTCTTCTTTACATTGTTCTTTTTATGTACAGTGCCCTGAGACAACGTATGTTGTGACTTGGCGCTRTATAAATAAAACTGAACTTGAACTTGAGATACGACAATAAAACCGTGGTTTATTTAATTTGCTTTTAGAACGGTTTTAAAGAAAACAGAAATGYATTTCTCACCTGGCAGATGAATTTCAGAGGATCGGCAGCCTTTTCCAGGTGTCGGCTGACTTCTCCCATCCTGGTACAAAACGTGACCGCCTTCAGGCTGACACGTGATTGGTCAACGCACAACGTGAGCGACGCCTCTCCGGCAGGCATGTCTAGGAACAAAAGCCCCAGAACAAATTTACACTTAAGAGTTTCTGAAACATTGCATCAAAAAACACCAGAATCCTGGACCGGATCGAGTGGATCTGGTTCAGGTACCTCAGGGTTTCCTCTTTTCTTCAGGCGGTTCACTGAGTCAAATATTAAACCCAGTGAGTTACGACCTTTTAGTTGTGTTGGAGACACATGAAACCAAAATGTACAAGAATGGACACAAAAAGTAACAAATTGTGGTAAAACTGAGACATAATTGAGACACTTTGAGTAAATTACAATTTGCAAATGACTCAAAGGAACCAAATATTTGCAGTTTATTCACGGTCAGGCATGAAAACATGTCTGAACGGTTGACGACTTGTGTCTCCGTCCTGCAGATACTGACCAGGTGCAGAAACTCGTAGCGTGTACTCGTTCTCCACCACGGCTGGGACTCGTCTCAAACATCCGTTTTCAGAAGAAAACTCCACTTCTGGTTCTGACCCAAAGTCCACTTTGGAGGATAAAATGATATAAAGTGTCTCGTGTTCCTAAAAGAAACAGAACRTAGAATAAAATGACGTTATTTATGTTAATTTGTGGTAAAAACTGTATTTCCTGGTTTAGTCGTACCCCGCAGAGGACTCTGGTTGGTTGGACGGTGAGACAGGTGAGGTCTGCAGGTGAACTCAGAGACTCTTCATCTTTCGGTTCTGCTTGTTTTTGTTCTTCAGGCTTGTCTTCCTCCTGATCTGAGGTCAGACTGTGAGTCCTGAGGGCTGCCGCCGTGTGCAGCTCCACCTCGACGGCCTCAGCTTCACATTCCACCTCCACCTCCACCTGCGCCTCCGCTTGTACACCTTTTACCACAAATAAAGGAAAAAATGAAATTATGATAAAATTTGTAAAACCCTTTCATTTTGATCTTTGAAAGCATTTTGTGGTGTTTAGCTAGGCTTTCATACTTTTAGGTTTCTGTTACCGTTAGCTTTTAGCTATCTATGTAGTTTTGCTATTTTTAGTTCTTATGCAGCATTTTAGCAACTTTTAGCTTTTAGTTAGCCTTTTAATACTTTAGCTTTTAATCAGCTATTTTTTGCTTTTGCTTATAGACAACATTTTATGATCATAGTTAATTTTTTGGATACTTTTTTAGCCTTTTGCTACTTTTAACTTAAGCAGCATTTAGTTATTGTTGGTCTTTACTTAGCCTGTGGCTACCTTTAACTAGCATTTTGCTATGTTTAGCTTTTAGCCAGGTTTTGGATATGTGATTTAGTCTTTTGCTATTTTTAGCTTTTAGCTAGCTCTCTGTTACTTTTAACATTAGACTATTTTTATTTTCGAATTAGCCTTTATCAGTTTTCTACTTTCAGATCTTACATAGTATTAGCTTTTAGTTAGCCTTTTATAACTTTAGCATTTAATTAGCTATTTGTTATTTAGCTTGTTGATAGCATTTAGATGGTTTTAGCTAAATTTTTAAACTTAGCCTCTTGCATCTTTATAATATTTTATACTTTTACCTAATCTTTTAATTTTTATGTAGCACATAGCTACTTTAAGCAATTAGTTGTTTGTAGTTTTTGTTACTTTGGCCCTTTGATAGCATGTTGTTTCCTTTAGCTTTCATGCAGCATTTCTTTATTGCTGGCCTTTATTTAACCTGTGGCTACTCTAAACTAGCATTTTGCTACATTTTGCTAACTTTTCAGCTAATTTTAGATTTTAACTAAAAGTTTCCAGCTTTTATCTGACATTCTGGTACTTTTAGCTAGGCTTGTGCTACGTTTAGCTACCAGATTTAAGTGTTCGGCTCATTTGTTATTTTTAGCTAGCATTTTCCTCCCCTTGGCTTAAGTTACAGCTTTTCAGCTCAGGTTTTGCTTCTTTTAGTGTTTAGTTTCTATAGTTTTAAATATTTGTTCCAAACTGAGATAAAATGTTGATAAAAACACCAAAAAGAAGTAGAAATACTGAAAACTTTTTTTTTTTACTGTCAGTGATGGATTCCAGAATGGTTGAAAGGTAAACAGCCGGCTCGTCTTCGGCGTGGAGTTTTCTCCAGTTCGTCCAGTCCTCGAACGTCTCTGTGGACACGTCCTCCTCGGTCACGCCGCACATCAGCGCCACCACCTTGTGTGGAGGATGAAGGAGTCTCCGGAGCGCCCCGTGCAGCTCCTCGTCCCGCAGGACGTCCATGAAGACCGACGTGAGGATGGGCACCACGCACCGACAGCTCCAGAAGTCCTCGAAGTTGTAGCCGTGGAGCCGGTCGGCGGCGCTCACGGCGTACAGCAGGACGGAACCTCTGCGGAACATCTGAGAGGAGTTCAGGATCTGCTGCAGGTACGCGGCCCATTCCTGAGCTTCCTCGGTGTGCAGAATCAGCAGATCGTAGGCTGAGACGGACTCAGAGGTCTCTGCAAGACAGAGCAGATTTTAAACATCACCGTGGTGCTCGAATCATCCGACAGTCTGGACCTTCAGTGGGACAGAAAGGACCTCCAAAGTTATTAAAAAACTATCCAGATTCATGTCCTGTTTACAACGGCACCATTTTTTAATGAAACCGTAACCGTTCTGTGGCGACAGCAACATCGGCAGATAGATGGTGGAAACCGATCTCATCCTCGAGCCAAACGTTCACACCTTCACCATTTCAGATGTAACCGTTTTTATGTCCATGTCGTTGAGATGTAAACACCACAGCGCCAGCTGGTGGCCTGGCATGGAAACTACAGCAGATACAACGAGTGCAGCGTCRCAATGTAAACGTGCAACTTTTCCAAAATCATCATCGAAGAATCTTTAACGTTTCCAGAGACGTTTAAACGGAACTCAAGTCAAGTTGTAGTTACAGGGTTCCTACAGCTTAAAGTCTAAATTAAATTTAAGACTTTTTAAGACCTATTTAATACCACTAAAATGAAATTTAAGACCAACTTCACAATAAACATAAACAAAGACAGTTGGCGACAATTTTACCCAAATGTTTAGTTTAAAACAAAACTAGCTGTGAGAAGCAATTTTAGGACCTCTGAAAGATTGATTTTAGGGCTAATTAAACCCTTATTTTTGGACTGATGAATTTTAATGCTTAAGACATTTTAAGGATCCACAGGAACCCTGTATACCACTTCAGAACATAAAGGACCTCTCTAATCCAGCCTGGATATGGAGGTGGAGCTGCAGAGTTGTGGAAGCTGTTAGGTTTGTTTTTAGCAGGAGTGAGTAAGTGGAGTCTGGCTTCATTGTTGATCTAGGTTCTGATGAACAGATGGAAGATATCCATCTTCTGCCACTTATTCACTGTCGGGTCGTGGAGGCAACAGGTCTAAGAGAAAAATCCAGACATTGGTCATGATCCTCGCCTCAGGTGACGGTTGGAACGTAGACGGACCAGTAAATCCAGAGCTTTGCCTTTCGACTCTGCTCTTCCTTTATTACGACTGACCAAAGCAACGTCCTCATTACTGAGGACGAGGCCCCAATMCGTCGATCCATCCTCATCCTACTCATGAACAAGCACCTAGATACAGAGAGGGGGCATTCTACCCTTTTCCGGTGGTCTCAGACTTAGAGGAACTGACTCCCATCCCAGCCGCTTCACACCTTCAGATCCTGTCCACGAAGACCAGAAACACGATCGGAGACAAGGGACAACCCGAAGTCGACACAGCCCCTGCTTTGGTTCTACAGGGACCGGATCGCTCTTCATACCGACCCAGACACTCCAGACTCAGATTGAGAATCTGCGATCTTAAAAACCTTCCACTGAAACGTTTTAAAATCAACAATTTTCAGTCCAATTCCTGTTAAGTTTTCAAAACGGTGGAAGAATTTGAGATTAAAAAATTTTAAACAGACGAGATCACCCCACTCAGTGAGGGAAGAGTTACGGAGGTTAAAATACAACTGATAAGCAGAATTATCATTGTCGACTAAACACGACGGCTCAGTGGTTAGCACCGACGCCTCACAGCAAGAAGGTCCTGGGTTCAATCCCCGGTTTGGACCTGGGGTCTTTCTGTGCAGAGTTTGCATGTTCTCCTCGTGCTTGCGTGGATTTTCTCCGGGTACTCCGGTTTCCCCCACCCCCCAAAACGTGTACAAGTTGCCTTCAGGCCCTGGTCGCCCTTGAAAAAGAAAGTGTTCTCCAATAAAGATGGAGGCGCTTCAACAAAATGTGTCAAAATGGCGACTGAATCAAGTTTTATTGTAACTAAGTTTAGTGAAGAGGTGACTAGATGATAAGAGTTCACCTCAGGCTTTAGATAAGAGCTCTGCCTCAGAAGAAAAATTAATGATCACATCGTCAGTATACGTTTAAACCAAACAAACTCAGCTTGGCCCCAAAAAGTGGCTCCAACCCTCCTGAATCCAGCTCCGCCTGCACCTTTCAGGCAGAAAGAAGTGAAATCAGTTAAACTCCTCCGACGCTGTTGATGAGCGTTGTGTTTGTCGTGGACCCCGAGCCCACCGAGGAGCGTCAAGGGGGCCACGGCTCGGAGGACGAAGGTCCGAAATGTTTGACCGTGCAAACGTTGGACTGAGTCAACACCGGTCCGAGTAATTACAGCGTTTAATCTGCTCACCTTTATACGCGTGTGCGTGCGTGTGTGTGTGTGTGTGTGTGTGTGTGTGTGTGTGTGTGTGTG